TGGATTAAATTCTCTTTAAAATACACTGTATCTCTACCTAATAGGTCTTAGTCATGGGAAACATACAGGCAAGAAAAATACATGACAAGATTTCTAAAACTATAATTCCATATTAGCATCTCTACAAATGCCATTCTAGTTGTCATTAACACTGTCCTGATTTCTACATCTTTGAAATAGATAAAAAGTTGTCTCATTTATCCAAACCCTTAAAGTTAAAGGCCAGGTATTTGTCCAAATTATAATTCTTCTGGATTTCAGAATGATAACATTACATCTCCCCTCCAGTGATCTAAGTGCACTTGCAGTCAAAACTTACTTCTGTATCAAAATGTTGGAAATTAGAGTAAGAGGACTAACAATAAAAATTTGGTTAAAGGGATAATTCCTGTTGAAATTTGCCACATTGTTTACCAAAAAAAATAGGAAGAAAGAAAGATCAGCTTTAGAGCTTTTTGGATTCTGGGCCTGTGATGAAAGCTTCATTAAACCACTTTAACTAATTTCCATAATTACAATATTATTAAAACTAGAAAATTTCTACTCTGGACCAGGCAGCCAGAGGGAAAGGGTTATAGGCGTGAGGAGGGGGGAACTAGACTCTTAACTTAAAAACCCCAAACCTACAATAATACAGGCTCATGGTTAAGTAGTAGAAGACATGCTATTACCTTTTAAATACAAATACAAAATATCTCCTTCAATTACTGACACTGTAAGAAATACAGATCTAAACGCTGCCAAAAGCAACACAGGGTATTAATCGCTCTATTACTAATATTCTTCCATTGGTTCCATACTAATTCTACACAGCTAAGAAGCTAATTACCTACTTTCTCATAGGTAATTAAGAAACAAAACTATAAAAAAGGATTCAGAAAATAAAAGAATTCAGAACACCCTCTCCCCACAGTTTTGGATTTGTTGCTTCTGACCTGTGAATTGGGAAGCAAATACACTGACTGCCAAATGACAAGCAATAGCTCTGTTTAAGGCATACTTCCTGAGAAGCTACTATGCAGTAAGAAGCCACTGTGACTGTAAGTAAACAGAAGACAGTGCTCCCTTGCGTGCTCACAGTCCAGAAGAAGCTATGACAGAGGGTAGTACTGGACATGAATTACAAAAGTGTGACATATTCAATAATGGAATTCTGAAGAATAAAGAGCAACAGGAGTCAAAAAGTTTCATGATGATAGTGACACTACAAAAGAGTTTTGAGTGATAATTTTATCAAGCAACACAAAAGTAAACAATTAAGACACATCCCTCCATATGAACAGGAAAAAAATGAAGGTTAAGTGGCAAACATGCTCAAAACATCTATCTAGATGGACTTAGCTCTTCAGTTTAAGCATATAAAAATTAATTTTCTAGAAAAGAAAAAAATTACTTTCTAGATATGTTTTATATTCCTGTATTATATAAACCATGAGTTCTTAGCCAAAAAAATGCAAACCATTTTATTATTGCATAATGAAGAAATCCCCAAGTGGCATGCCAAGCTATATATGTATCTTTAAGTCAAAAAACAGTAAATAGGCCAGGGAGATAGCTCAGTACAATAAGCACTTGCCTGGCAAGCACAAGATCCTGAGTTCAATCCCCAGTACCGCAAAGAAAAAAAAAAAAGTAAATATTCTATTTCCAGGTAATATGTACTAGTCATAATAAGTCTAATAATATATAAATGAGTATCAATATTCTCATAAAACTCAAATTTTAAAACAGAAATCGAAAGGTGTCAAACAAGATTTAGAAAATAATTATTTAAATTTAAAAATGGTTCAACAGAGCCAAGCTACGAAATACAAAACAATTTTTAAGAGTTAAAAACCTTAATTCTCCTTATGCTTCTTTTCAAATGCAAATTTTCTATAACAGAAATCAATTTTAGCACTGCACTACTCAAAATATATAGTATTGTACATGTAACAATGAAACTCAACTCCTTCAAGTATCACAGGTAGAAATCATCCTTTGAAACAAAGGACAGTCACCTGTGTCAACAACCAGAAAGATTACTATCACAGCACTAGATCCCCTTACCAATGCTGTATATCCCAAATATCACAGTATTAACTGTGCCTCTAAAAATGCCTTCTCTTTTACCTCTTTACAAAAACTAGTGTTACAAAATCCACTAGCAACCTACATTAAGAAATAAAATCCTAAGTATTAAGACTGCATTACTATTTGCCTAAATCGTCCTCAAATTTCTATTTAAATGAGCATATTACCAAGAATTTGTTGTTAAAAGTGAATGGAGGGGCCAGGAAGACAGCTCAGAGGCACAATTGCCTGTCTGGCAAGCACAAGGTCCTGAATTCAATCCCAGCCACCCCCCCAAAGTGAAGAGTTAATTTTCTACAAATAAAATTTTAACTAATAATACTATTATTATTTAACATTGCTTTGAAAGAGCTTAAGATAAATCATAAACTATTAATCTGGTAACACTCCATAATCTCACATATTAAGTACCTATTTTATTTTCCTACATTATCAGAAAATCTTGTGAGGCAAATCTGTCACTAAAAAGGTAAAAATAAAACTTCTGATGTACATGTAGTATGAAACATTTTGTAATCTTTCAAAGTACCAGTACTTTTAATATCAGGTAACTCTTCTACCCAAGAGATTAAAAACCAGAACCACCGAGCTAGAACTTCTAAAGGAATCTCCTAAATCTAAAGTCCTGAATTTTGAACAAAAACCATTTTAACCATAAGCATCTCTGAAAAATCAAAAGGTGTACTAAATATTCAAAATTAGAAAGTGAAAACAAAAATTAGTTCTTCTAAGGCAGTACGTCATTCCGAGTTTTATCACAATCGGTATTTCTCAAAGGAAAAAAGTACAAATCACTCACACATGTATTTTGACTTTTTGCCCCATATTAATCTATGTCAAAGTATTAAAGAAACTGAAATTTTTTATAGGCTGTATTTACTGTTTGGTTAAAACAACAGGCAATTCTCTAGGATAAGATAATGCTACACTTAGAATGTACAAAAGATATCTCTACACGCTGTACACTTAGAATGAAAGGATTCTGCTAATAAATGTCTACATTAATTTATTTACATTGATAAAGCACTATGAAACAGTTTATTTCCTGTTTAAGTACAAAGTATTCGAAGAAGTCAGTGGAATACAAGTCTTTGAAAAAGTGGGGGAATATTTTAAAATTAAATGAGAAAGCGTGCAAAGTCAATAAAGACGTGAAGGGAATAGAAGGAACATACAACTTTAATCATCTTGGTCCATTAAGAAACATTTCAATGTAACAGAATCTGAATGTAGCAATTTAAACCCCTGAATGTAGACATGTAACCATTTCAGTCTACTGTGATTCTTAATTCTCTAAACCTGAGATAAAGTTCTCCAAAACTGCAAGAGATGTAGTCACTGATGTTTGGGAAAGAACTGTTGTCAAATATACCAAGTTATCCCAAACAACATAAAGCTGGTATGTAAACGGGCATGTTTAAATCTATTTCCCACGCCCCCTACTACCTCCACTTATGCTGTTTTAAAAAGCAAATCAATAGAGACACACGACTCCTCAGCTGCAAAAACTCCTGGTATCAAACATGACAAAAAACATGTTTACTTCGAACAAATTCACTGCTTTCACTGGTGAATCAACACATTACAGTACTTCCTACTACTCTGTCAAGAATCTAAGGGTTCTTAGCAGCAGCACGGTGTTTAATTATTAGGAACTAGCTAGACGATTAAGAGCTGGATTCTCTAAAGAAGAGTTTTAGGAAAATATGACTTAGTTTTCCAGATGTTAGGAAGTAAAGATATCTAGGATTTGAAGGAAGTTGACGTTTAAGTCCTTCCTACGACAACGTGCACGCAAGTAACACTCTTGCGGTAGTAACACTGTACCCACAGGGTCTGCAATAAATGCAAAAGCTGAACACCTAAAAAATGTTTTTACAAGAGAAAACTACAACTTGTTTTCACGAAGTTCATAGTTAGCAGGAACTAGAAGCTTTCTCCTGGACATAACCAACAGTACCTCAATTAAGAACCACAGGGGCCTCTTTTTATCCTACTCATTTCTTCCGTGAAACTTTTAAGTTAGATATAAGAGCAAAAGGTGGAGAGGCCCCACCGGAAGTAGCAACTTCACAAACAGGCGTCTCGGGTTCCTCCGCCCCACCAGGACCAAACGGACTGTCTCTACAACATTACAACAGCCTCCGGTGCAGCGAGACGAGCATCACAGTTGCGCTCCCTCTCCCTCCACCATGCATCACCCTTGCTATCCCTGGGCCTGGTGGATCCTGAGACCCGTTACCCTGTCCAAAGTCCCCCACCTTAAACACAAAAACAAAAACAAAAACACACAAGTGGCAGATGATGTGCATGTAGGAGACATTCAAAGAGCCTGCGATCAGCAGCCACTGGGAAGGTGGCACAGCACACTAAAGTGGGCCCGGACTCGTAGGCTCCCGCCGCTACCGCCTTGTCTTCTGCCCCAGGAAGCAGCGCGGCGGCAGTGGTTACTCCGCGCCGGCGGGAGCCCCCGGGAGAGGAGTCGGAGGAAAGCCCGGCCGCCCGCGGACGGGACCGGGCCTAAGATCTGGAGCCGCGGCTGCAGCGGCCGGAGCACAGCGACGCTTTACGTCCACCCCCCATACACACCCCCTCCCTCCACCGCCGCCACCCCCCTCCCCGCCCGCTCCGCTCTCCCTTTCTCGATTGGAGCCGAGACAAAAGCAACGGGAAGCGGTGGGCCCGGACGCTACCCGCGAACCCCGGGCGCGACCGGCCCGGCCCCGAGACATTCCCCTGCCTTGCGGGGACCCCGAATCCGCCGCCCCCGCCGCGCGCCCCGCTGCCAGACTTCCGAAAATTTGCCAAAAACTCACCGCATGAATTTTCTTGTCCCGCGGATCCAAGATGGCGACGTATCCACCGCGGAGGCTGCTGGGAGCAAGACCTTTACCCTCTGACCCCCGCCGTGACCCCCGTCGCTCTAGCTTCCCTTAAGGCGGCAGCGGAAGGTGGGAGCGGCGAGGGTCCGGCGGACGCGGGGCCGGGGTGAGTAGGCCGTGTGCGCGCTCCTGAGAGCCGCAGGCTGACGCGCGGCTCGCGCCCGCCTCCCGCTCCGCGGCTGCAGCGTCTCCTGCCGCTTCGCACGGACGCCTGCGGCCCACCGCGCCTGCTCCCGCTCTCGCTCCCGCTCCCGGGGCGCCCGCAGCCAGGGCCCGGAGGCTTCGCGCAGGCCCGGGGCCGTGGGTCCGGGGGCGGGGAATGGTGAGGTAGCGTCGGTCCGCCCACCGGGGCCCGGGCGCGTGGGCTTGCTGGGTGGCCCCCCGCCCCCACTTCCGCGCGGAGCGGCCCGGCGGGTCCCACCTGGAGCGCCTGGCCAGCGTCTCTTCCTCCCGCAGCGCCTGCCGCCGCCGGGGCCGTGTCCGCGCCCGAGACCCGCCGCGCGTCGCCCTCGCCGCCCGAGAAGTGAGTCCCCTCCGCCGAAACCATCGGCGCCGCTCCGCGCTGTGTTTATTTGCTTTAACCTGGTGGTAGGAAGCGCGAGGGGAGCGCGGGCTTCTCGCGCGGCGGCGGCCGAGTTACCTGGGGCGCCTGGGCGGGCTCCCACCCGGCCCGCTCGCGGGAGCGTTGGAAACCGGATGGCTTGAGAAGCCTGGAGGAGCCGAGTCCCTGCTGCCCGCGAAAGCAGCTGTCACGAAAGTGAAACAACTGTGTTCTCTGCAGAAATCTTTTGTGTGTGTCTGTAAACTTCACGTTTTTAGTCATACTAGGCATTTTGGCTAACAAGTTCTCTTGAGTATGTGTTTTGGAATTGTGTAGTTGCATAACGTGGAGACTATTAACTGTTTCATTGATAACAATTTATTCATGTAAAGGGCGGTTGACTTAAAGTAAATAAAACTTGTTTTACTTCGTTTCCTTTTTATAAAAATCGTTTTCTTCCACGAAAAGTCATAATCCAATTTAAACTTAACACTAAAAGCCAAAAGCAAGAAGCAATAAGTGCGATGAGCTTGCTCTATAATAAAAGATTTGTCACTTTTTTGAATCCAAGGTACTTTTGACCTATTAGCAGAAGTATAAATGTATTAAACTCCAAATGGTGCTGATGTGGCCAGTAGGAAATGTATTACACCATTTTTCACTGCTTATTCCTTAAACATTTTCTTGTACTGTGTTTTATGTTGGGGAAGTTCACAGGGTAATAAAACATGATTTTTTCTCCCTCTCTGCCTCCCCTTCCCTCAACAACGTCTTTCTTCCTGCTTTTCTGCTTTCTCTTCCCTTCATATTAACCTCTGGTGGAAAGTATGTTTAAAGATCGGCTGTGTCTCTATGTGTATGTAATACTTACACTACGTGAAGATATGTATATATAAAAATATATTAGTGAGCCTTTTAGCCTAGTTACTAATAATCCAAAAGTATAATGATTAGTGACTTGTAGCCATAAGATGGAATGATGCAAATAGGGTACAAATATATAATATTAAAGGTTATTTACCATTTTAATCTGTTAGACTTATATGTAGGGCTTTGTTCAGGTCAAAGGATGAGTCTTATCCCTGTATTTACTTAAAAAGCACGAATTTTAGATAGTATGAACATGGTAAAATGAGAAAAATTCACTCTTAGGAAAACATCTGATTTGCGAATATTTGGGTTTTTGCTGGAAAAAATAAAACAAATATTTTCACCTGTACAGTAGGAGTACAAAAAATACATTCATAGTATTGTTTTTATTTTCTTCTGCTGAAAATATTCCATAATGATGATGTGTTTGTGTGGTTTCGAAATATGTGTTAAATTTTTTGGTACACCTCACAGAAAAATCACTTAGATTGAAAAAAAATACTCTTAAGAGACGATTGACTGTATACAATTTATAGACAAAAATATTTTAACTTCCAGTGATACTATAAAAGTTCAACAGTCCAATTTAGACTGACAAAATTTGTTACACATTTTGTAGTCTTCAGGAGTTACTTTAACAAGTGATAATTTCCTGATAATAGTGGCAAAGTTCAGAGACAGGGCTTCTTGATAAGAGTAGGTTTCTAGAGTGCAGTTTGTCAGTTTGTGTCAAAAGCCTGAACCTGCGCTTTTATCCCAGCAGGTCCTCTTAGAAACTGTATCATAAGGAAATGAGGATGTGTGTAACAATCTTGATTGCAAGAAGAATCCTTACTGCATTATGTACTGTTTAGATGAAGTAACCTGTGCGTGCTATGATGGCACTTAGCCATTCAAAATGATGTAGAGGAAATCTGAGATGATGGTCAGATACAAACCTTTTAAAATATAGTTCTAATTTCTAAAAGGTTTAAACATTTTTTTTTTCTTTTCTATATTCTATAACTAAACACCAGTTCCTATATACTTATGGAACTTTGGCTTTGTTCAGGTTAAAGGATGCCTGGGATCCATCCTTCTCGCTCCATTACTACAGTCATTCATGTAATTGTAGCTTTCAATCATTATTCTCAACCTGAAATTTTGAAAGGATTTTCAGAACTGTTTGTCTTGGTCTTGTCACTAGGACGCAGTATCTGACACCTACAGTTTAAGAGAGGAAAGGTTTATCTTGGCTCACAGGGTGTAGAGATTCCCATCCATGTTTGCCTGGCTCCATGGCAAGGCAGCATGGCAGAGGAAAAACAGCGCCTGGCATGGTGGCAGGAAGCTGAGAGGAAGCAATGGTGGGAGGGAAGGAGATTCTCCCTTCCAGGGTACACCCAATGACCCCTGTCTTCCTACCAGGCTTCACTTCCCAGCAGCGCATTTAGCTATGTGTGTGTCCATCGCACTGAGCACCACGCCCTGGGGTCCAGTCAGCTCCCCAAGCCCTACCTTAAGTACCTGAGGCCTTAGGGGGACATTCTGATGCAAGCCATAGCACCAGTCTTCTCCGTGTTAAATTTTAACTCTAGTTTTCCACACTATCACCAAACAGTGCTTTCTACTGTGTAAGACTGAGGAAATTTATCCATTGTGTAAAATCTTTGTAATGATGTCTTTCACCTACGGGATAAAAGTACAAACTCCTTTCCCTGAGACCAAATAATTTACTTAGAAAAAATATAACTAGGAAATAGTTGCAGCAGCAATAGAAATAGCAGTTCAATACATGCTGAGCATTTAAAATGTGTTTTTATCTTTACTTACAAAACTTTAATGTCTGCTTATGAGGTAGAAACTACTAATATGTGTTTTATGTTTTGAGGCTGTATTTGTTATTAGTTTAAATGGGGAAGTTGAGAGAAGGCTGGGGTATCAGGGACAGCTTCACCAAGCGGCTAATGATTTCATGTTGAATGGCATATAATTTGGATCAATAAAAACGACGGTTTCAGTGAAGGGAATGTCAAGCAAAGCCAAAGAGCTTGCTAGGATTGCTGTACAAAGTACTGTACAAAATTTCCTCAGTTTTAGAGCCTCAAAGTCAAACGTGGCTACTTTTTCCCCATATCATCACATAGTTTTCTATATATGTTCTAACTTATTTTCTGTTTATTTTTGTGGTACAGGGTATTGAACCCAGGGCTTTCACACTGAGGAAAGCTCAGTCTTGTCTTTGTTTTTGAAACATTCTCTTAATTCGCTGGCCTGAACTAGCACTTTCAATCCCCCAACCTTTGCCTCTGCGCTAAGATGATCGGTACATGCGCCCATGCCTGGCTTCCTAACTTCTAATGAGGACACTAGCCATTAGATTTGGGGTCATCGCTGCAACTTTATATATAAATTGAATCTTTACAAGCCCTGTCTCCTACAGACATGTTATGGAGATTACGATTTTAACATACAAATTTAGAAGGTTAGGTTACAATACATCACATATCAGAAGTACATGCAGAAATGAGTAAGGGCCACTGACTAGAATCAGAATGGACTGATGGGACTTGTGCAGGATAGGGTGTTAGGGTTTTGGAGTTTTTGAATGCCACGCAAAGGAATTGACATGATGATTTTAAATAAATCACACCTAATCCAGTCCATTGCCAGTGCTTAGCATCCTAGGAGGATGAAAAATCACATTAGAATACTTTGTACTGTTGTGTACACTTTGTATCATATCCACTCCTATCACCTGATGTGACTGTCCTGCCAAAGTAATTACTTTAGATATATATCTACAAATCATTTCAAAATTAAAATACCACTTAAGTTTTAACCTTCTAAGTCAATACAATAATGTATTTCCCCATATTATGTAGAAGTAGCAACAAAATATTTATGCTTTGCTTTCTCAATTATAGTGGATCCTTATTATGACCAGCCTCATGTAAGAACAACTTAGGTTACAAACAGAATTACAGTTGGAGTGCCAGCCACTTTTGCAGCCTTAAAGACTAGTGATGCCAGAAATGTGTATGTCTATGTATGTAAGCAGCAGTCTGAGCCCAGATACCTGTTCTTACCCTTCCAAGCAATAACCACCTTTCCTTTCATCCACCCTTCCTGCAAGCCAAAGATGTCAGCCTGAGTGGTGAGTACAGTATGAAATTTTTGTTTCTGTTAATCTGGGCATGTGTTATAAATTTTTGGTGACTACATTAGGACAATTATTGATGTTTCTGGTAAATTATGCACATTATACAACCTTTTTTAATTATGAAAAAAAAAGTCTTAAATTACAACCCCCACTCATGAATGAATTGAGTTTGAAGTCCAGGCTGGTCCACTGTACTTCATTTTAGGTGACTGTTTAAATACATGATTAAGATATTTTCTCTATCAGAATACCAACATATTAAGTTATCTTTCATTTTAAAAATAGTGAAATTGCTTCCTCCCAGAAGTTATCAGAAGACTATGTAGCAGTAACTCAATTCAAAACTAACACATAATCATCTAGTATATTTTTCCTGACAATGAAAAATTGACGTCTGTTCAAAAGGGAAACGTGTTAAGTGCTAAAATACCATTAACTTTTTCATGCATGTAGTAGGTCAGTAGACCTATCTCTGCCCCTTAATGACTAGTGGTGATCGTTAAAGTGGTAAATATTAACCTATTTTAAAACAATATGTAATGTAATAATTATTGTACTGTACTACTAACCTGTTTTGAAACTATCTCATTGCTACTTCTTTCTCAATAAAGTCATTAAAATATAAAAATAAAATTTAAAAAACAAAGAACTTCCCTTAAAGCAAAAATATATTCAGTATAAATGAAATGAAATAATGATTATGAAAGATATGTAGTGCTAAGTCCTTTACTTTAAAAGATGTGGGTTTTATTTTTATACAATGAAATGCTGCTCAGACATAAAAGACTAAACTTGAGACATAACTAAATGGGTGAACCTTGAGACCATATATTTGATATGTCTCTGGTGTGAGAAACTGAAAAATACGAACAGAAAATGTAATGCATACTGTGAAATAGGAAGAAATTGTTCAAAAGGAAGGAGGTGGGATATGAGAGCAAGATAAGATGGAAACAAAGCTTTGTAAATAAGGAATGAAAGGAATTGAAGTGTGAGGAAGGAAAAGGGGGGACCTAAGATCTATCATGTGCAGGTACAAGTTCCTATGATGAATGTGATCATTATGTGTATTGAAATTATACCAATAAAGAATTAAAAATTGAAAAATTTAGGTTTCATTTTATAATTGCTCTGAGGAGTTTTTTGTGTTTAAGATTTTCACACTGCTTTTTAGGCTTTATATTTTATTTTTATTGATTGTATAAAATTATTCACATGGATTTTTCATAGCTAAAACAGTTCATCATATTACTTTTACAAAATTATGATACACACTTATTCTGTTTTCTGTTGCCAGTATCCCTTACAGCACAGTTTGGAGTGAGGGGACACCCTTAGAAACTGAACATAGAACCTGCTCCATGGCACAATAAGTAAGTTAAAAGAATGCTAACGTACCTCTGAATCAACATAGTTCTGCGTGCTTGCAAACATGCTTACAAACATCACAACATAGGGGGGAAATGAATAGAGGCAATTCAGTTCTGAAAGGATTAAATGGGAACTTTAACATTCTGTATTTTTCCAACAGTGCTAGAAAGCAAAATTCCAAAGCCTGATACAGAAATTATACACATTTGTTTAATACACATCAGAAACAGCTTTTGGATCAAAAGTAAGTACTATAACTTGTGGAACAATTTGTTTCAAAAAGGAACTCCCTATTTAGGTAAACATTAGTTATCAAAACCTATATTGAAAATGCACAGAGGACACAGGCGATAAAAGTTTCATTTAAGCAAAATTGTAATGATCATAAGTCTATACGAGGAGCCAACTGTTTCACCAAGTTACCAAGACCCCATAAATTGCTAGGGTTTAAGAAAAGTCAGCAACAGGTTAAGGATACTAGCATTCAACTCTTAAAATCATTAAAAATAAAGCTTTTAGCTTACTTTCCCAGTCTGTAACAAATTCAGTGGAATGAACAAAAATACAGGCCACAGGCATAGCTTCTATACATATTTTTAGAAAATGCACAAAATCATGAAAGTGTAATATCTAAAAAAAAAAAAAAAATTAAAGCCCAGACATAATACACTTTAATGAAAGCATTCACTATTGTAAAACTCGGTGAGTGTGTGATCCTTTTTTGGAGAATGGGCCATGTTCAATTGTTTATATTTTTAAGATCACTTGATGGGGCCTTCCATATGTAGGTTGAAGTTAACTTAAAAGCACTGTGTATTGCTTGAGGATCCTTATTAAAACTTAACCTCAACCTTTTGTGAAATCTCAATGATAAGTACAGGGACATTATAGGACATACCCATCAGACTTTTCCTGAATTTATATATTTTCTCTGGCTTTTTAAATTGTATTCCAAATGTGAATGTAAAAGTTAGTAATACAATGAGATTTAAGAATAGAAAAATGCTTCCTCACCTTAATACAAAGTTCTGATCTAATTCAGTATTCATCATTTGTCATTCAAGTGTGAGTTTTAGTTATGTGCCAGACACTGCATTTTGTTTTTCTCTATTCTTAACACACTGCCTAACAAACTTCTGACAACAGATGTTTGGGATTATATCCCATGTATTATACTACACTAATTAGGTGTTCCCGAATTTGATTCTGACCCTACATTACATCTGGGGACAGGCCATGTAGGATTTCTATAGATTTTGTAAATAAATAAATAGTGATTTATAGAACTCGAAACTATGTTTATCCCTTTTTACATAGGATGATTCCAAGGATACTTGTGAGCAGCTGATGGAAGCAGCATGGGAGAAAGGACATGCCAGTTTCATGCTTGTACCATCAGGTGGTACAGCCAGTCAGTTGGACAGTCGTGCATGTGCTGCTGGTTAGAACATGTTAGACTTGTATGACATACTTCCCTCTCAAATATCCATGCCCATGTGGTGAATTTCTGTTACTACTCGTCATCTTTGAAATTACTCATAGCAGTATTTTTTTTTTCGATAGAGAATACTCAATTTAAAACATTGCACAAATAATTTCAATAAAATGGGCAGCAATGTTATTATGAG